AAGACAAAAGACCGCGGTGTGAGACTTCATGGAGGTATTCAACCAAATGTACATGCACAACGCACATACAATTTCTGATATCCATTCCCCTCTCAGTCAATCTACAACACAAAACCCCTATATAACACCTGACTGCAATTCCGGCCCATTTAAGCCTTGCTAGATACACTTTCATTCATAATTGTTCGACCTAGCTGGTAAATATGATTTTGCTGATATTAGCAACTGCAACGGATCATATATATATATATTTATATACTTCCATCAAAAAGTTGGTTTCCCCGCAAAGAATGGGGGTCATTTTTGAAAACGAACCAACAATCCTCTCCCCTGAATGAATTCTGATTCGTGTATTGTCAAATTAAACCCTACAGTGTACGGTAGGCATGGCAATGCAAAACCCAAACGAAAACAACTACCCCCGACTGTCACTGAGGGGTAAGTTTTAGAAGAACTAAAAGTTATCAAAAGTAGGAAATCTTTCGATTCCCAATCCTCAATGGCCTTCCAAGCGCATACACACCATCTGGCATAAACGTTTTCATCCACCTTCATTCAGTGCATGGTATAAGGCAAACTAGTAGACACATCGCATGGTGTTCGTATCAATCCTGTGCACCCACCAAAAAGTAGACGGTTTCGTCTGATTCCCTGTTCTTCAGTCATTCGAGCAAATCCTCACTAACGATACCTTCTCCTTGGTTAGTGAATCTGAAAAGCTTCGATTAGTTTGCTCCGTATAAACGACGCTATACTGTGGATGCAGTTGCCTGCTTGCATAATTCTGTTGAGTCTCATATTATTGAAAAGCCGCCATGCTTGTTTTTCGGATAGGAACAATGATTTTATTGTGTTAAGCACTTTCATTGGATGAGTGACCATTTCACTGACCAACACCACGTCTGAACGACAACAGGTTCTCCACCAAGGGTGTCATTTTACTCTTTCTTCACTATTTCCCAAATTGGTCACGTAGTCGGAGGATTTTCCGAAGAAATAAGCAGCAGACCTAGTACGTGGCACTACAATCCAAACCTTTAGCTAATTCTTTAATCCGCATTTAACTCATTTACTTGTGAGTAGCGTCGTGGGATTGATTGAATGGAACTGACCATCCTTCAGACTTCACTTTCATGAACAANAAGGCGTGTGTTACCACTGTGCCAACCAGCTCATGCCAGGGCTAAATGGAAATGCTAATTCTGAAGACGACACCTAGTTCCAATCAACGGATTCTTTGATCGACCTTCGTAAATCTATCATTGATTGATCTAAGACTGTGCGCGTATCGGTAAATCGT